GAAGAAGGCATCTGTGAAGTCAAGGACAGTGAAAACCTGTGTCTTGGGTGGTATAGTACTAAGCAGGGTGTAAGGAATGGAGACTACAGGATGTAGGGGGATAATGGCTTCATTAATGATGCATAGGTCCTGGACCAGGCAGTAGGAACTGTCAGGCTTCCTCATGCAAGGATAGGAATATTATAGGGAGAGTTGGTAAGGTGAAAGAGGCCAGACTATAGAAACTTAGGGGCCTGAGTCACCTGAGGTCATCTAGCTTAAGAGGGTATTGAATCCTGTGGTATAAGTGAGTAGGGTCTTTGAGGGAGATAGAAATGGGGTGTCTATGTTGTGCCTTTCCTGAGGTGCTGGTGTTGCACACCTCAGGGGGCACCTTTTGAGGTACCTCAATAGGAACAAAGATATGGGAGGCTCTGAGGAGGGTATGATAATGCTTTCCCTAAAAACCCAAGGAAGGGAACTGGGGAAGCCAAAAGGAGTTGGGTGCCTAATACCATCGTATCTCTTCCCAACAATGGGTGAGGCAATTGGGGAGCACCAGAAAGGAGTGTATAAAACTTGATCTCTCAGTGAGCAACGGCGCAGTGAAGTATGGGGGGGGGGCGTAGGGGGGGGGCTGTTGTATTTTACCATCCACTCAGATAATGGAGATAGGAGAGGAAAATAGGGGTCCAGGAAATTCAGGAAGAGCAGAGTAAGTGATCCCTGTGTCCAGTAAAAATTTAATTTGCTTACCTGCTATAGAGAGAGTTACCCTAGGCTTAGGCCATTTTGATATAGTGAAGTGGAGCCAAATCCAGAGCCAGGGCTCATCAGTAGGACTGAAGCAGTCCCAGAAGGTCTGTGGGCATGGAGGGGGCCTGCACAGGGGGGTTCGCTGCCTCTGCAGGACGAGTGTAATCTCCCCTCTTAAGAAGGGGACACTCACTCTTTCAGTGCCCTTCCTTTTTACAGTTGGGGCATGATCCTGGCAGAACCCGTTTCCCGGGGCACTCCTTTCTCCAATGCCCTAGCTGGTTGCAGGCAAATCAGGGTGTAGTTCCCACAGCAGGCTGCTGTCCTAGTGTCTTCTTGCCTGAGCCTCCAGGGTATCCGTTCTGACTCTGAAAATTTTCTCCCACAATGGTAGCCACCATTTGAAAGCTGCCTTCTGCTCTAGGGCCCGTTGCTGGTCCCTTTGCCTTTTTTCCTCTCTCCTTTCCTCATCTTGGTTATTAAAGACCTTGAAGGCCAGGTCTAAAAGTTTCGCTTGTGGGGTATGAGGTCCCTTCTCAAGCTTTTGGAGTTTACCCTGAATATGGAAGGCTGATTGGGAGATGAAGTGCATGGCTAAGATAGTTTCTCCCTCCCTGGAATTAAGATCTAAATTAGTAAAGAGGCAATATGCCTTGGGTAGTTGTGAAAGGAAAAGAGCCAGGTTTTCATCCTGGTACTGAGTAATTTCTTTAACTCTATCATAATTTACAGGTTTAGCAGTGGCCCTCTTCATCTCCTCTGTGAGACAGGAAAGCATATGGTCTCATTGCTCCCCATGAGGAGATTCCTGTTGGTAATCCCAATGTGGGTCTTGTTCTGGGACCACAGTGAATCTGACCATATAAGCTTCACACTGCCTTCAATTAAGATAATCTGTGTACTCCCTAGCCTTAGACCAAATATGAGCTCTTTCCTCAGTAGTAGTACAAGTGGAGCAAATTACATGGACATCTCTCCATGACAGTTCATAGGAAAGACCGAGGTATTCAAATTCCTTAGAGAACTTTGAAGGATCAGCCAAGAAGCTGTTCAGTTTGATCTCTATTTGAGACAGATCAGACATAGAAAAAGGGACATGGACTCTGAGGATACCTTTGGCATCAGCAACTTCCTGGAGAGGGAGCTGGAGCACAGGTGGGGAGGGGTTTGGGAATGGCAGCCAGAGCAGGTGTGGCCAGGTGAGAGGGGTGGAGGTGGAGAAGAAGAAGGAGGGGGAGAAGTAGAGGGCAGTGAAAGTGGTGGAGTTAAAGGGGAGGCAGCGCTGAAGGAGAATGCTGGTAAGGAGGGAGAGTAGGGGGAGCTGAGAGAGGAATGTCATCTAAGTCAGAGGAAGTCAGAAGAAGAAGAGGGTAGGGAAGTAGAAGTAACATGTGAGAGGTAGAATGGACAAGGGGATATTTAACAAGTTCAAAGAAGGCCTTTACGTAGGGAACTTCAGACCATTTGCCATGTTGGCAATAATAGGATCAAGTTGCAGGATGGTGTTATGATTTAGAGATCCATTCTTGGGCCAGACCTTCTGGTCACCTAACTTATGTTGTGGCCAGCCTGTATTACAACAGAAGACTAAGCGTTTAGGTTGGAGATCAGTGAGTTCCAAAGTTTTCAAATTCTTAAGAAGACAACCCAATGGGAAATCCTTAGGTGGAGCCGATTGGATGTTGCCCATGACAACTAGGGGAAACAAAAGGATGTTTTAGGGATTGTTACGTGTTGCCAGATGTCTGAGAGAGCATCCCCAAAAATCTAAGTTAGACCAAAACCTAGTGATCTGGGCCAGAGAATATGTATTCCCAGCCTCTGACTCATATTGTGATCTTGAAGTTTTCCCTGTTGCCAGGTGTCCCTGGGTCTGGGTGATGACTGATGGGGGGCAGTGCCCCCTTGAGAAAGAGTGGTTAGGAAGCATCCCTCCTTGCCACCCTCCCAAGTAGTATACCCAGTGCCAGGTTGTTTTCTTGACTAAGACAAACCAAACCAAATCGAAAAGCCACCACTCTCCACTTCGTGTATATGACCATTCCCAAAGTTCCCAGAGACCAGGAGACTCACCAAATTCTCAACAGTTTGAAGGCACTGAGAGGAATGTCCTAGGAATTGCAGAGAAGGAAGCAGTTTCAAGATTGAAGCAGCTCCATGTCCAGAGGTAGAAGAGTGAGAGGATGAGATAGTCCCCCCACAGAAGAGAAAAGTAACTTCCCCCCATATGGAGGCAGAGAAAAGTCCCAGTGCAGGCCACCAGATGTTAGAGTGGAGATGCTGGTGCACTCGGGTTTTGAGAAAGATTTCTCTGGACAAAGATTGATTAGGATAGAAAGAAAAGGTTTATTTACTTTTCCCTGGTGGGGGTGGGGAAAAGGACCAGCATGGAGGTAGAAAGAGGAATAATGTGCTGGCCCCAAAACCCAGCTATCCAAGGCTTTTTAAAGGGGGTTGTAAAAATGGCAAGGTATAGTTGAGAAACTGCTGTATCCACTCCATTCTTTCTTAGTGGCAGCAGGTGGGTAACAAAACTGCAAGGATGTCAAAGTCCAAGAGTTGGCCCTCCTGCCTTTCCTTGGAGAAGGGATCATTACAGGGGCTGTGACTCTCTGCTCGATGTATGGTTGAGGCTTGGAGCTTGTACCCTGCTGTTCACTCAGAATCTCTTTAGGCTGTAAAAGGCAGATTCTCAAAAATCAGTTTTGAAAGAGAGAGATGTACATCTCTTTTCTGTTCACTGAGCTCTTTTCAGAAGTTGTGCAAAACAGAATTCCTGGAGAGTGCCTGTTAGGAAAAGAACTCATAGAATTGATCTGTAACCATTACTGGGGAAATTGTGGGATTAGATATTTTCCTGTTATTTTTGCAAGGCTGCCCCTTTCAGGGACTACTAGTATTAAAGTGAGCCAATATTATTGGAAAGGAAGATCTGCTAAAGGATAATAAAAATAATGTGATGAATTCTAAACCCATATAAATTAAGAGTCTCATGCTCTACCGACTGAGCTAGCCGGGCACCGGTAAACCCATATAAATTATTTGGAGATTATCACTATCCTCTAAATGATGTAGTTAAGTAGTCTGGGCCACTGCACCCTTAAGGAAGGGATTACTTATGCTTTAACACCAGCAACTCTGGCATAAACTCTGGGCTACTCCCTCATTACAGCATCTATAAAGAGCCCACATTTCCTGGGGTACAAAGAAAATGCATTTATTAGGAGGGAATTTGGGGATGTGGGGTATAACTTCCATCAAGTCACTGTTTCTGCAGAGAACATTTTGACTCAGCTGCCAATAAAAGGACTCATTTAACTATGATTTCCTGGCCATTCAGAAACTACAGTCAAATTAGTGTTTTCTCTGGTTACCAAAGAGCAATGTGTGGTGTGCCAGAGCCTCAGGGAGGACAGAATGGGATAGAAATGCAATTCTTTAACACTCCTTTCTCTTCTAGCTTTAAAGATATTCACAGAAATGGAAAGGAACATGAAAGACAAGGATATGCCAGTACTCACCATCACTCCTTTTCCTACATCTTCTCTCCAGTGCACCACGACTCTGTTAATGCTTTTGTACTACTGCTCCCATATGAATTTGGAGTATAAATTTTTAAGATTACTTCCCAGGACAAATAATTTTAAGGATCAAAGAGGAAGACGGCCCTTTAATATTGGAACTATAGCTGTTACCTGATCCTATTTAGCTTTTGTCTTATTCAAACTATTAATTTTAAACTTGATAGACTTAAGCATCATTTGTTGGTTCTGCTTTATTTGAGCCCTAGATTATTCAAATATCTTCACTTATTATTCTCTCCTTTATCAATAGTCACAAGTCACAACCACTTGCTTGGTACACCAACAGTTTTAATAAATATTTGTTGAATGAAAGTAGATCAGTTTAAAATTTTGTTAGTTAATTAGGGAAAAGATTTGGGGGATTTGGTGGTAGGAGATGTGGGGGGAGAGAAATGGTTGATGTAAAAGGCTATAATTAAGTTTATCACCATTCACAGAATTAAATGATCTGAGTTAGTCTTGTCTGGTGATGTATGAAATAAATAAAAGTTGGCTAAGTATAGTCTGTTCAAAACCAAAGGCTGCAGCTGTATCATACTTTTGTGAGACATCTCTTTTGATTTCAGTTCTTGTATTCTTAGTAGCTTTTGATAAGATAACCTATATGAACATTGGAATAATAAAGATTTGATAACAGATAAACAGATAAAAATAGTATAGAAAATATTCCAAAATGCTTACTTATCAGCTCGTAAGGTTTCACCAAGGCTTTGTTTGCTGTGCTGTTCAGCTTTGCTACGGAAATTTTCTTGGTTGAATACTTCATTTTAGGCTTCATTTTTTATGCTTCTGTTGGATTAAAATATGGCATTAATTCAATTGTTTCAACTTGAAAACAAGCAAAAACAACAGTGGCTAACTCAATATAAAATTGATAACATAACCACATAGAGAAAATAATTATTTTAGTAAAATTTGAACTAGTTAGTATACATTCTTCTTAGAATATTCTTCTTAGAATACATAGTATTCTAAGTATACATTCATACTAGAATACAGTCATGTACTGCATAATGACATTTCAGTCAACCACAGGCCGCATATATGATGGTGGTCCCATAAGATTGTAATTGAGCTGAAAAATTCCTATTGCCTAGTGACTGTCTGTAGCCATTGTAACATTGTAGCACAATTCATCACCACATTTGTGGTGATACTGGTATAAACAAACCTTCTGTGCTGCCGGCTGTATAAAACTATAGCATAGATTATTATGTACATTACATAATACTTGATAATAATAATAAATGACCATATTATTGGCTTAGCATTTGCTATACTATACTTTTTATCATTATTTTAGAGTATATACCTTCTCCTTATAAAAAATAATGTTAACTTTACAGCAACCTCAGGCAGGTCCATCAAGAGGTATTCCAAAAGGTATTGTTATTATAAGATATAACATCTCCATGTGTGCTATTGCTCTTGAAGACCTTCCAGTGATACAAGATAGACCTAAACTAATATGTGTGTGTTTGTATCTTAGTTTTTAACAAAAAAGTTTAAAAAGTAAAAAATAAAAAATTTGAGAAATAGAAAAAAGCTCATAGAATAGGATATAAGTATTTTTGTACTGCTGTACAATGTGTATTTTAAGCTAAGTGTTATTACAAAAGAGTCCAAATGTTAAAAAATTAAAGAATTTATAAAGTAAAAATGTTACAGCAAAGTAAGGTTAATATATTATTGATAAAAGAAAAATTTTTAAAGATACTTAGTGCAGTCTAAGTGTACAGCATTTATAAGGTCTACAGTAGTGTACAGTAATGCCGTAGGCCTTCACATTCACTCACCAGTCACTCACTGACTCCTCCAGAGCAACTTCCAGTCCTATAAGCTCCATTCAAGGGAGTGTACCATTTTTTGTCTCTTATATGGTATTTTTACTGTACCTTTTCTATGTTTAGATATACAAATACTTACCATGTTGTTATAGTAGCCTACAGTATTCAGTACAGTAACATGCTATACAGGTTTATAGCCTAGGAACAACAGGCTATATCATATAGCCTAGGTACGTAGTAGGCTATACCATTTAGGTTTGTGTAAGTATACTCTGTGATGTTTTCCCAATGATGAAATCACCTAATGATACATTTCTCAAAACATATCCTTGTCGTTAAGCAATGCATGACTGTATGTAGTCATAGGACTAAAAGAACTGTAAAGAAATCTTTACTTGGTGGGCTTATTGTTAGTAGTAAAATTTATATTGGAAATCTGAGATTGTTTTATTACACTGTCGTATACAGAGCAAGTAGGTGGGTATATTGATGTTACACAGTTTTCACTGTAGGGTAAAGGAGATACAAGCATTAAATAACAGAAACTAAGAGAAAACCCCTGGAGTATAGAATTCAGTCAGCAATACCTGTGTTCCATATCTTAGTTTCTAAATGCTTACTCCACCAAAAGGAACCACGACTTCAGATCTGGAGATGGTAATATAGTAATGAACATGGAACATCCTGTTGTGCCACAAAGCAGTGAAGTCATATAAAAACTGGTGAGGTTGTGTCAAAAGCATACATGAGACACCATGAAAGGTCGCCCACTGGCAAGATTTGGAACGATTTAAAGATCAAAAAGAATAACAATGGTAATTGACAATAAAGCATTTAATGAAAAAAGAAACCCACAAGCCCATAGCATTTCTCAAGAATGAATGAATAAGGAGGAATCTATTCATTATAGAGGAAAAGAAAAAATCAGATCACCATCATCATTGCAGCCTCCAATTTCATACTTAATTCAGGCAAGGATCATCAGGGGCTCTATAGCTTGTTGATCACGCTGGTTAACAGTATTATACTGAAGAAATATGGAATTCTCTATCATAAATTGCTGAAAGTTCCATATTCTTTCAGTGTGGTACTACAATCTAGCTTCATCATTACATCACTGTTGCTGTGGTTTGTGGAGGAAGCAGGACTTCTCCAGTCTTAAACTCTCTTTGACATTGCCTGAAATTTTACCAATAATTATTGCTTCCTTTTTTTAAAGAACTGGCCTCTTGTATTGCTACATTAACAAAAACCTAAATTATCTCAGCAGTGGTTACAATTTAAATTTCTTATGTACTTCGTATGAATCAGCTCATCTAGTAGATAAGAGAGGAGCATTGAGTTCCGAAGTTAGAGGACTCATTAGAAGATAAATTTTATGCACCTTTATTTGTTTTCCTGGACAAAACTCTGGAGGCGGAAATTACAAAATATCTTAACTAGGTAGAGGTAGAATCTTATATGGATGCTACCTATTTAGAGCTAGTCCCATGAGCAGAATGCTCAGTGGTAGGCCATTTGTGAAGACTACCTGTTCTGCCCTTCAGTCTTGCCATGCGAATGAGTATTACCCTCATTCAGTTTGAGGACTCTCTTCCGCTGATTATTCCACCTTTATTGATTGAGAACACTTAGAAGCAGTGAATCTACTCATCATTTTACTGAGCCCCTAACTCTACAGATAAGTAGACTGAAACTCCCAAAGATTAAGTGCATTGTCCAGGATCACAAAATTAGAACCAGGACCAGAATCATTCTAGTCTCTTGACTGTGAACTAAAAATAAAATCCTAAGCTCTCTGCTAACTCAGTGGGCCCCTCTGAGCCAAGAGGACCCCAGAAACACCTTAATACTGAGTTCCCAGCCATGACAGGATGGGAGATATAAAGCACAATTATAGGCTTATGATTTCCCTTCATGAATATTCATGACTCCTCCTACAGCTTGTTAAATATGTATCTTTGACCACCCTAAATCCTATTGCCTTTTTTAAAATTTCAAAATATTAAGGGGGTACAAATGTTTTTGTTACATAGATACCCTTAATAATACTTAAGTTGGGGCATGTAGTGTGTCCATTATCAGATAGTGTTCATTGTACCCAATAGGTAGAATTTGACTCTTCCCCTTTTCCCTTGCCCCACTTTTGTCTTTTCTTTGAAGCACATGAGCCTGGCTTCTGGCTGGGGCTGTGCTCCCTACCTGTTGGAATGGCTGTCCAGCAGGTTGCTACCCTTTGGGAGAAATAAAGCTCTCCTTTTGCCAAACTATAAACCTGGTTAATTCATTTTTCTTTTAGTTAACAACTTCCATCTTGATGCCAGTACTTCCCCATCCTGCCTCCCTTCATGTTGTCTCTCTCCATCCTGCCTCCCCTGCCTCCTCAAAATATAGGAAGAAAATTATCAGAAATGGGAATTTATTTTATTTTATTTATTTATTTGAGACAGAGTCTCGCTTTGTTGCCCAGGCTAAAGTGAGTGCCATGGTGTCAGCCTAGCTCACAGCAACCTCAAACTCCTGGGCTCAAGCAATCCTCCTGCCTCAGCCTCCCGAATAGCTGGGACTACAGGCATGTGCCACCATGCCGGGCTAATTTTTTCTATATATATTAGTTGGCCAATTAATTTCTTTCTATTTATAGTAGAGACAGGGTTTCACTCTTGCTCAGGCCGGTTTCAAACTCCTGACCTTGAGCAATCCATCCGCCTCAGCCTCCCAGAGTGCTAGGATTACAAGCATGAGCCACTGTGCCCGGCCTTTTTTTTTTTTTTTGAGACAGAGTCTCTGTTGCCTGGGCTAGAGTGCCATGGTGTCAGTCTAGCTCACAGCAACTTCAGATTCCTGGCCTTAAGCAATCCTCCTGCCTGAGCCTCCCACATAGCTGAGACTGCAGGCACGTGCCACCATGCCCGGCTGATTTTCTCTATATATTTTTAGTTGGCCAATTAATTTGTTTCTATTTTTAGTAGAGACAGGGTCTTGCTCTTGCTCAGGCTTGTTTCAGACTCCTGACCTCGAGCGATCTGCCCGCCTTGCCTCCCAGAATGCTAGGATTACAGGGGTGCGCCACCATGCCCAGCAGAAACGGGAATTTAACTTCAAACACTCTGCCTTTCTTGTATACTAAGCAGTTGTCCAGTTTCTTTGTAATAATAAATTTCTGAATATGGTAGCTAATTTGTGTCATACATGTTGAATAGTGCAGTTAGGTAACCCAATTGTAGTTAAATTTTAAATTGTACAGAAAATAGTTCAAATAATAGATATTGAAATAACAGTTTACTAACATGACAACTGCATTGCTGTGATTTTTGTTTGTTTGTTTTCTCTTTTATGTAAGGATACTTATGTCCAGAAAAAAAAATTCCTAGTCATTAAAAACAAGTTACATTTTCAAATAAATCTGGGAAATGTCCCAATCTACAGTCTATCTCTGGGAGAGTCAGAGCTCACATTAGCAGAGTAAAGATGTTGATAGTTCTTCATTGGAGGATCATGAGTAACTTTGTTTAACTGTTTCCAGTAATTATTTGATCTCATAATCTTTTTCTCCACTGCACTCACCCCCTGGACTAGTTTGAGAGAATACACTTCAAAAAAACTCTGCTCTACTTACGCCTGTAATCCTAGCACTCTGGGAGGCTGAGACAGGCGGATTGCTCGAAGTCAGGGGTTTGAAACCAGCCTGAGCAAGAGCGAGACACCGTCTCTACTATAAATAGAAAGAAATTAATTGGCCAACTAATATATATAGAAAAAATTAGCCAGGCATGGTGGTGCATGCCTGTAGTCCCAGCTACTCAGAAGGCTGAGGCAAAAGGATTGCTTGAGCCCAGGAGTTTGAGGTTGCTGAGAGCTAGGCTGACGCCACGGCACTCACTCTAGCCTGGGCAACAAAGTGAGACTCTGTCTCAAAAAAAAAAGAAAAGAAAAGAAAAAAAGAAACCTCTGCTCTAAACCAACTTTAGCTTGCACAGTCGAGCAAGAGAGGTAAGAAGCTGAAAATACCACATTTAAAATGTAATTGTTGACACAGAGAAAGTTAGTACCCTTTTAGAATCACATAACTCAAAAGCATACGGAAATATTTTCAAATCCTATTCTGAAAAACAAAGCATTTTCTTCAATCTACAAATCTTTAACCTTGATAAGTATTATTACTCTTCACCATGTTGTAGACTAAGATTAACTCTTTACTCTCCTATTTTTATATCAGAAATATTTCAGACATATGACGGTATATAAACATCACTGGATCTTTTTTGCTGCTTTTTCCAGTGACATACAGCAGATATTCTTGCACACTGGTAATGATACTCACCTAAGTTATAAATGGAAAGGGTTGGTCTCAGATGATGTGGTTTCCTGTAGTTGGCAATTGATAGCAGTTAATGCAGTTACATTCCAATTCTTCTTATATAGATATACGCACACAGATTAAGCAACATTGGGTGGAAGCATTTGATGTATGAGGCAATGCAAATAGAGCTAGTAAAATGCATTAGACTGTGTGGGAGCATATCTTTTTCCTACAGCCAAATCCTAAACAGAGCTTTCAGATTATTTTAGTTGAAGTACTTTCAAAGGGTTATGCTTAGTTAATCATTAACTTTTATAAAACCTCTAGGATGTGGACTCTACGTAGTATTTATTGCACAATATAAAATGCACAAGAACACAGATTGCTTAAGTCCCTTTCTCTTTTCTACAGAAAGTTGAAAACTTTTTAAGTGTTAAAACTTTTTTCTGATTATAAAAATGATGTATGTGCACTTAGAAAATGTGTAAATGACAGGAAAGCGTGTATGCTGTACATCCTGACGTTCTTTTTCCTAGGTAAAAATATTATTACATCTATTTTATTTAAAAAATAAAGTCATACTACAAATATTTTGTAAGCTGCTTTTTCCAGTTACCAATTAACATTATATCATAAACATTTTCACATGTTAGAAACATTCTTTTACAAGTAGCATTATAAATAGCATTCAATCATATAAATATAACCAATCTTAACCGATCTTTTATTATATATAATATATAACATTATATAATACAAAATGTATAAATATATAAATATAAAATATTATATAATATTACACATATATAAATATAACCAATCTTTTATTGATTAATACTTTGGCTGTTTCCAGGGTTTTCTTTTCTTTTTTTCTTCACAGCTCTGTGTGTGTATGTGTGTGTGTGTGTGTATTGTGATTCTTAGAAAACCTTTGTAAGTTCATTGGTAGCATAAATTCAGTGGTGGAATTGCTGGATCAGAGAGTACATGTGTCTTATAGTTTGACAGTTATTACCCAATTGACTTCCAAAAGTTTGTATTGATTTTTAATTTGTCAACAACACAGTTGAGTGCCCTCCTCTCCATCCCCATGGCAGCAACAGGAGTCATCACACCTTTAGAAATGTTTGCCTTTCTAAAGAGTAGATTATATCTCTTAGTTTTGAATCTTTTCCCTTTATTTAGTGAGCATGAGAATCTTTTAAAAAACGATGTGTTTTCACATCTGTAAATTATTCTGTAAAGCAGGACACAAAACCAGAAGTTCTAAAAAAAATGATTAAATTTTACCACATAATATTTGGAAACCTATGTATGGCCAAAAAAATGCCACTAACAAAAATTGTAGAGACACAGCTAGAGATTAGAAACCTTGGAGAGAGTCATTTAAGTATAGTGGGAATCTCAAAGTGGACTGCACAGAGTGGAGAAGGAGAAAGTGTTTCCAGAAGTACAGTACAGTAATGAAAGGAAACAAAGAAAGAGAATGGTATCTTGACAGAGTAGTGTGGAGAAGGGAAGTTATTGGTTACTGGCTAGAAGATCTTGGGTAAGTTACTTGATGTTTATAAAGTCTCAATTTCTTCATAATATTGTTATATTATTCATAATAATAATTTTATAATAATTTTCCTCATAATAGTTTGAACTCATTGAGTTGTGAGAATTCAACAGTCAGGTATATTTTAAGCACTCAGAACAGTATCTGGCACATAGTGGAAATTCAATACATGTTTATTGTTATTGTATTGTTGTTATTATTATTGATATTTTTATTGAGATGTGGGACTCTTAGGTGTGTTTCAGTGCAGAAAGGAAGTTGTCAATGAAAAGAGGAACATCCACAAAATAGTCCCAGGGGAATCAGAGAAGAGAGGGAAGACCACCAGTGGAAGGGCCAACTTTGAAAAGGAGGAGGTACACTTCTTCCTGCAGGAGAGGAGAGACAGTGAGAGAATCAGAGAAAAGATGTGAAGTTTTAAGGTCTGGGGACATGAACTTGAGGGTCTTGTAGAATCCTAGTAATGTAGGTTATGAAAAAGTTACAGAGATTAAGAGAAATAAGCATGGTTTTATTTTTTGAGAAAAAGTGGGAGAAGTCTGAAACAGCTCTATGGAGAATATAAAACAGAATTAACTAAGGAATGAGGAATTATTGTTCAGTAGGTATAGAGTTTCAGTTTTGGGAGATGAAAAAAAGTTCTGGAGATGGAGAGTAATGGTTGCACAACAGTAGGAATGTACTGAATGCCACTGAAATGTATACTTAGCAATGGTTAAAATGGTAAAAAATGGTAAATTTTATGTTGCACGTATTTTACCACAATTTTATAAAATGATTTAGAGAAGAATTTAAAAAGTGGGAGTGGAAGAAGTAGAAACATGAGAGTTTGTTTATAAATAGGAGAATTACAATATTCCCTATCTTAGAGACAGAGATCTTCTGTTATTAATGATAGTCAGGATGAGGTTTTGTGGGTGAGCTGTCAGAGAGTGATAGTCATCAATGCAGGCACTCAAGTCACCAAGAGTGACAACAGCAAAGGCTACAGTGAAGAGTAAAAGAGTTCAGGATACCTTGTGACCAGAAAGGAAAGAGATTAGCATAAGTAATTGGGCCTAATGTTGGAGTCAGAAAGGACTATGAAAAATGAGAAACGTGCTGCTTTCTCTACTGGCCCTGGGAAATGTGCACACCAGGACAGGGATTGGATTTTGAGAATAGTGGCATCACCAAGGAAAAGTCATTTATTTATTTTATTTTATTTTAATTTTTTTTTATTTGGAGACATGGTCTTACTCTGTTACCCTGGCTAGAGTGTAGTGGGGTCATAGCTTACTGGACCTCAAACTCCTGGGCTCAAGTGATCCTCCTGCCACAGCCTCCCAAAGTGTTAGGATTATAGGCATGAGACACCGTGCCCAGCCAAAAATCATGTTTTCTTTCCTTCCTTTTTTTTTTTGAAACAAAGTCACCCAGGCTAGAGTGCTTCTGTGGCATCAGCCTAGCTCACAGCAACCTCCAACTCCTAGGCTCAAGTGATCCTGCCTCAACCTCCTGAGTAGATGGGGCTACAGGCATGCACTACCACATCTGGCTAATTTTTCTATTTTTTTTTTTTTTGAGACAGAGTCTCACTTTGTTGCCCAGGCTAGAGTGAGTGCCGTGGCGTCAGCCTAGCTCACAGCAACCTCAAACTCCTGGGCTCAAGCGATCCTCCTGCCTCAGCCTCCCAAGTAGCTGGGACTACAGGCATGCACCACCATGCCCGGCTAATTTTTTGTATATATATTTTTAGTTGGTCAATTAATTTCTTTCTATTTTTAGTAGAGACGGGGTCTCGCTCAGGCTGGTTTCGAACTCCCAACCTCGAGCAATCCGCCCGCCTCGGCCTCCCAGAGTGCTAGGATGACAGGCGTGAGCCACCGTGCCCGGCTAATTTTTCTATTTTTAGTAGAGATGGGGTCTCACTCTTGCTCAGATTGGTCTTGAACTCCTGACCTCAAGCAGTCTTCCTGCCTCAGCCTTCCAGAGTGCTAGGATTACAGGCATGAGCCACTGCACCCAGCCTAGAAGGAGTTTTTGGAGGAGAGGGAGGAAGAGGGTAAGGAGTGTGTGCATGTGTGTGGGTGGGGAACATTCCAGAGGAAATGACATACATTTAAATTAAGGAAAAAACCTGAAGGAAGCTTTTAATCTGCCAAGAAATAATATCTTAAATAGAAGTTTACTAGTTGGTTATTCACCTCTGAGTAGCAACAGCAAAAAAAAATATATGAGGTCTATTTAGTCCTTTTCAAAGTTACAACTGTGTGTGGTTCCCTCTTTGGCTGGAGAAGTCTTCCAGAAACTGACATTCAACAATTACTAAATGCCCCTTACATGCTGGGGACTATGGGTTCCATCAGCATTAACTCATGGGACACTACATGGAAATTTTCATTTCACTTTGTCGTATTATGTACATCTGATCAGCTGGAAAATCATTTATTGAATCACTAACCTTTTCTTATATGTCAGGCAATTTCCCTCTTTTGAAATATGGATACCCTTAAGAATGTTAAGTTGGCTGTTGGCCTTTCTTTTGTTACTATGAATTTTATTTTTAAAATAAATTAATCAGATTGCTTTCCTATGATGAATCTTGTTAAAATTCAGAGTTTATGAGAATATTTTATTAAAAATCCATACTTATGGAAAATTTAGATGATACAGAAAGGACTTTGAAATCCTGATATAAAACCATCCTCATATAGCCATCTAATCTTTGACAAAGCAGACAGAAATATACGCTGGGGAAAAGAATCCCTTTTCAATAAATGGTGCTGGGAAAACTGGATAGCCACCTGCAGAAGGCTAAAACAGGACCCACACCTTTCACCTCTCACAAAAATCAACTCACGCTGGATAACTGACTTAAACCTAAGGTATGAAACTATTAGAACTCTAGAGGAAAAAGTTGGAAACACTCTCCTAGACATCGGCCTGGGCAAAGAGTTTATGAAGAAGTCCCCAAAGGCAATCAAAGCAGCAACAAAAATAAATAAATGGGACATGATCAAACTACAAAGCTTCTGCACAGCCAAAGAAATAGTCATGAAAGTAAACAGACAACCTACAGAATGGGAGAAAATTTTTGCATCCTATGCATCCGATAAGGGACTGATAACTAGAATATACTTAGAACTCACGAAAATCAGGAAGAAAAAAATCAAATAACCCCATTAAAAAGTGGGCAAAGGACTTGAACAGGAACTTTTCTAAAGAAGACAGAAGAATGGCCAACAAACATATGAAAAAATGCTCAACATCTCTAATCATCAGGGAAATGCAAATCAAAACCACAATGAGATATCACTTAGCCCCAGTGAGAATGGCCTTTATCAAAAAATCTCCAAACAATAAATGCTGGCGTGGTTGTGGAGAGAGAGGAACACTCCTACACTGCTGGTGGGACTGCAAACTAGTTCAACCTCTGTGGAAAGCAATATGGAGATATCTTAAAGCGATACAAGTGATTCTACCATTTGATCCAGCAATCCCATTGCTGGGCATCTACCCCAAAGATCCAATGACACTCTACAAAAAAAGACACCTGCACTCGAATGTTTATAGCAGCACAATTCATAATTGCAAGGCTGTGGAAACAGCCCAAGTGTCCATCAATCCAAGAATGGATTAATAAAATGTGGTATATGTATACCATGGAGTACTATTCAGCTCTAAGAAACAATGGTGATATAGCACATCTTATATTTTCCTGGTTAGAGCT